AAATTTTCGATTTCGAGGATTTACTGTGTTACAGTAGTCATTACTCATAAAGAACGATTATTGCTGTGCGTTAAAATGCCTACATACTGATAAGCACGTACATACAAGACACATTTAAGGCTGTTTTAGTATAATTTTTGCAATTTTAAATTTATTTCTTGATGTCTAAATCGTATATATTTAAATGTTGATGAATATTTTGTGATACAATCTTAGGATAAAATGCATTTTAGTTTCAAAAATAATATGTATTTAATGATTTGACAACTGTTAATAAAAAAAATACGTAAGAAGATGTTCATATTGAATTAATTTGGTGTTCATAGTTTGATGATCATCCATAGTTATTCTGGAGGCAAATTAGATGACTTGTTACTTATTAATTAAAGTAGTGGTCGTTTAATTTCGTATACCTTTAAAGTGGACGAAGGGATGCATATTTGTTAGCCATGCAGTTCATGGATAATAGGTATACCGCAATAATATTAAATTTTTGTTACCTTAACCTTGAAACAGGTATGCACTACATATACATATATTAGAGTAAAGTCTTCAACACGTACGTTTGCTTATTTTGTGACTGCTCCCCGTACAACGTACTGATTACACACTAAAAAATAAATGGTTCCACGAATTATAATATCGGCAATTCCTACAATATTTTGTGGTCATATATAGGACAATGATTATTTTAGTTACAAACATCATGAATTTATTGTTAATTTTTATGGTTACAAGAACTTTAAAATATTGTAAATCTGTTAACCACAAAACTGTGGTTATAAAAGCCAAAAATGTTGTACTTGCTGGAACCATATTCTACGGTCTTATTAAACAAAATTTGATAATTGTCGTAACAAAAAATTATGTATTTCAACTGTAATAAATGATATCATGAACGATATTTTATGGTTGTTACTGCCGCACCATTAATTAATTAATTAATTAATTGATTAGCACTTTTGGAAGGAATTAAACAAAAACTCGTATTTTATTGAAAGCATAGGTATATTGAATATAAAATGAAAATATAAACATAAACATATAAAGAAAATTAAACAATACTTCTTAACATTATAGAAACATATTTATATATTAGGCTATTACATAATATATATATATATGATGAATATATGTACTTCAGTTGTTATGTCTGTTTAGACAGAACTATTTATATTAATTAAACTATTTCCATCGTATGACATATGGTATAAACAATTGACGTGTAACTTATCAATCTCCTGAAGTTCCTCTGTTTTAATGTCATTTTGTAATTTAACATAATATGCATGTAAATGCTGATCATAACCTAAAGTTTCAAATAACTGGAACGTTATCTTTATAATATCAACTTCAGTTTCAGCAATAGAACATACACTGCCAAAAACTGGATGTGATTCTGTGAGATACACTATTAAAATAGTCCCGTGTTTTATTAGTTTGTCATAAACTTTTATCCATTTATAAATAAATCCTTTTTGTTTGTTATATTCTGTAATTGTAGATTTTTCAATAAATCGGGAAAATCCATCCTTAGATATCAATTTGTTACATAGTTTTAGTTGGTGTCGGATTGCAATTGTTAAGCAAATATTTTTTTTTGAGTAAGAAATATTAGATATATTTTTTAGAGTTCTGTGCTTTGATTCGAATCTCATTGACCAAAGATTTATTAAGGGACCAGACATTCGCATAATTAAAGGATAGTGAATCATGTTGTGATGCTTTGGTTTTAAACTGTACCCTAATGAACATAAGATTTGGTGATGTTCTGAAATAAGGTTGTTTAATAAAAGTGTAGAGTCCATATCAAATTTTGAAGATAAAACAATATCTAAAATACTCCGAAGAGATAAATATAATCGCCAATAAATATTATTAGAAGGGACCAAATGACCAACCATGATTCCAAAGAGAGTCACGAAATATAAGGTTTCCGAAGCTGATAATCTTATGTTGCCATTCTTTAAATGCTCCTATTTAATAATAGGTAAATTGCAACGAGCTTTATGATTAAATGCCAAAATCATTTGATTTAAGGCTTCAAGAGAAAATAATTTTGCTTCATATATATAATTTTTCAAAATTATCTCTAGGTCATATTTACAAACCCCTTCTAGGAGATCATGCATTATATCTACTGAAAAATTCCTAATTACGTGAAAATTTCGTAACTGATTCCAAACGGGTGGACTTTTAATGCCAGATGAGCTACTGTCGCAACTGGATGTATCAGCGGAATAATTTTCAAAATTACGAAATAAGCTCGAATCTTCGGTCAGCTGAGATTTCATCTTAGCTCTATCTACTTTACAGATTCGACAACAACGATTAGCTGTAAAACTTTCAACGAAACCTAATATTGAATTTAATCCAAGGTTGTCTCCAATTATTAATCCCAAAGAAAAATATAAATGGTAATTGATACCGTCTACATTAATTGCAATTCCTACGCTTTCTAAATATTTCAATTCATCTATCACAACCTGAAATATGTTATTTCCTATATCTTTACGAGCACTAGATCGAAACAACTGAACAAAAAATATGTTTTCCAAAAGAGACTGAAATTGTTTTGGAAAGCATGGCACCGAGATGTAAACTACACCTAATTTGTTCACACCAGAATGTGATCCTAAAACATTTCCTGATTCAAAATCGTCAAAATATAAAAATAAGGGAATAACTAATTTCCCAGAGAATGATTTACGGATGTCTTGCCATAAATTACACTGAACAAAATTCTCAAAGAGACTCGTAGAATCCAGAGATTTTATATAATCTAAAGTTGCACTTAAAACATTAGGAAGTTCAAACACACGTTTTAAAACCTTCCGTAAAGGAATGAAAACAGTTGTCTCCTTAATGCTAACATGTTTGGGACACACATTTTCTGAGTAAGTTTGTAGTGATTCAGAAAGAACAATTTCTACAGGTTTAATATATAAGTCGTGTTTTTCTAAATATTTAAATATCATATGTTCTGATCTGAACAACTTAAATTTACTTTGAACATACGAAAAACTTGAAGAAATGTATTCTAATTCATTATTTTTGATATTGCATGGATCAAAAGTTGCTTTTAAAATATGTTCTATCTCTGAAAGTAAATCTCTAACACTAGAGATTATATTTTGCACTTCTGAACGGGGCACTGAGTTACTTTTATATAAGTGAGAAATAAAAAGCGCAATACTACTCTCAATTTGATTTTCCTTATTTGCAATTATGTCATTATATAATCTGTTACTAAAAGGTTCACAATAATCAGAAACTGTTGGTTTTGAAACAACACTATTGGGAGCTGTATGGAATAAAGGTAGTGTAAAATTTGTATCTGGACTACTACACTGACCTGTAACGTTGTTAGACAACCACTGAGTATTCAGAAAGTTTTTTCTGTGAAAATTCGAAAGATGTTTGTAAAAAGAGTTGTATGAACTAAATTCTCTTTGACACGAATACGAAAAAATGCAGCGAATATATTTACCATCATAGGAATGTCTATATTTCATATGCAATAATAATTTTTTTTTTGAACTTGAAAATTTGTGACAACAATTCATTATTTTTAAATATTACTTCTCACTCTCAGATTCATTACACAAATCAGATATCAGAGCAGAAACAATTGAAGACTTTTTGTCCCACTCTGTCTTTAAATCATAGATGTAAATTTGTATTAACTGCCAAACATGAGAACATTCAGGTGGATATTCTGCAACAATTGCATGAATTATTTTAAAACAAGTGTTTACACTTTTCAAGGCCGATTCAAAAGGATATGTACAGTTATCGATGGAAATATAGCCCTTCAGGTTGTTCAAATCTGGTCCAACAATTGTTATTAGAGGTTGGCATAATTGTTTGGTTTCCGCATATTTTCGATGTCTTCGTTCCAACATCAATTGCATCTCTTCACTGGTTTTCACGTAAGTAATGAAACTGTTCGCTACTTCAACTTTAGACGGTTTCCATTTCTTTTTATTTGTCGTAACAATCACTACTGGCATTAGATACGGTAGTGTTAATAAACTTAGAACAGCAGTGGCGTCTAAACAGAAAATTATTGTTAACTCAAATTACAAAGAAATAAATCAATTGGTTTTACCTTCATTCAAAATATTAATGTTTTGATCCGGAAAATGTTGAGTCAGTACGCCTCGGTATTGGGCCAATCGTAATATAATATGTTTTTTTTTATGTATTTCGGCAAAAAATATTTCTGATTTTTTGGGATAAAGATAATTGAAATCAATTTCCAGCTAAAAAAATATACCACCTATAAAAATGTGAACTTACATAATATACTGTTATATTACTTACTAATTGATAACCTAAGAACTTTTCTAAAATTTTATATTCTTGAAAATATTCTTGGATAGTTGTGGTTGTATTCTGGTTATAGCGGGGAATTCTTACACATGTAGTGGCCTTCCATTTAGCCAAAACTTCTGGCCAAGGTTCTGTATTATACCTTAACCAACAACAAAAGTCTTCCACGTCATCCTCGTAATCTTGACTACCTATTAAAAAAAAAGCGTAGGAATTATATCTTCAAAAATTAATTACATACGTACTCGCTATTTCAACAGTTTCATGAACTTCAAGGCTTGATGATGGACACGCAGTGGTGAGAACGCCAGATTTTTTCAACTTCTTTCTTTGATTATGGTAACGATCAACTAATTTACCCCTCATACACTGGACAGTTTTTTTGTTTTGTCTAACATACGGTATATAGTATGTGGAAATATCTTCGTTCGGGAATTCTTGCTTTATGAGACGGGCTAATTGTAAAAGTCTTCTGGTCGGAATACTAAAATAGCAATTTTTTACAAAAATGTATGTTCGATTTTCAGTTCTTTCGTTAAAACATACTAGGAATTAATGTCTTGTAGTAAATCGTGATCGATTAATAATGCAACGAGATCATCTCTTAATTGCGGTGTTAAATGGTTTTTCTGGGCCAATATATTACGACCTTTTATAGAATTTTGCAAACATTTTTTCAAATCCTACAAAGCAATGACATCTTACAAAAAAATATATGTGTTTACTTACAAGCTCGTATGTCACTTCCAGATTTGGAAGTTTTTCCAAAAACGAATCACACCGTTTATACGGTACCGGTACAATATCTAAAAACACCATTCAAACATAAAACTTCACTCTTAATAAAATAACAGTAAGTCACTAAGCACCTGGTCCTTGATATTTCATTAAACAACAAAAAATCATCAAAGAATAGAGTGGGTGATTTTACTACGTTGGGCATGCTGATTCTAAATCTGCAATTAGTTTTTTTTTTTTTTTTTTGTATACGTTACATTATCGAGATGATCGACATAACTGATGAATGACTAATTGAATTTTATGTTTCTGCGAATATGATCAAACGTGTATATTCATTTCCGATGATTATAAAGCATTTTTATGTACCATTGCATTATTAAAAAATATCAAGTAAAGTGGAATTACGTGACAACGTCGCATTGGAATTTACGGTTCTAAACCTGAGGAAGAAGCCACTGAGAATATGTAAAAATATAAGTAAGGTGCTACATTAAAAAAGCTAAGCTGTGTAGTATGTGTCAGACACAGAACATTCTGTGTAGTTAAAAATAATTTAATGATACTCAAAGACCCGGACAACTTTTCTATTTTCAATAATAATTGAGTTATCGCTTAGTGACTCACCCCTGTATATATATGTCATTACCAAATATCATACAGTACCTAAAGGTAAATTATCATCCACTCTATAAACTGTAGAGCACGTGCCTTTACTAGTGCTGGGAATGGGTTCTTGTGTCTCTTTGTAAACTAAAATTATATACATAAAAATATGTTTTCACTTAAAACCATACATTACCTGAAGTATCACTAGGAGCATCATTTGTCTTAACTACTATTGTTTCTAAGCAGTTATTATCTGTTATTACATTTTCTTCGTCAATTCTATTGTACAACTGTCTAAAACCTTCTTTAAATTTAATTCTGTCCCCATACTTTGCAATCAGTTCTTTGAAATCTTGTGAATCTGTGTTAATTTTTGAGAATGTATCATCATCTATCGCTTCTTCTGAAAAATAATATTACAACATTTAAAAGTGATGTTAATAAAATTTACAGTTATTTATTCGTTGTTACAGTTATGGAAACGAACAATTTATATTGTACATACTTATGTATGCATTTTGGCAAACCACATTTTAAATTACTTTTAAAAGGAAAAGATACTACACGATTTTGCTTTAATTCTCCAAAATTTAAAAGAAAAAGGTTGGTGAAGATTACAAAACAATACAGTGTTAGTATCAAAAGTGTGTGGCTATGTAAGGTACCTAAGCCAAATATTGCCATCTTAAGGTTTAAAATTTGTTGGCAAATTAAATTTTGAAACCTGAAAGCTATATATAAATGATTGTTACGTGAATACGAGTTGCCCATTATAAAGATAACTTAAAGCCGTATATGATTCAATTGTTTAGAATTTAGGCGATTTTTAGACCTGACAATATAAGGAATATGGCAATATATGGCTCAGACACCGTATAATACCGTAAAAAAACTAAGACCAAATTTGATTTTATAACTTTTTCAGAAATCAGTCCGTTTGTGCCAGGAAATGTATCAAATGTATCATAAAACATTATTATGGGTTTTACCTAGTACGAACTGAACTGAATAAAAGATTAATCAGAAATTTTTTGGCCATAGCACACTTCAGTGTATGAGTATTTCGAAAAAGATTCCATTTTAACACCATATTTGAATTTTATTACAATTTAGCAATTTTAATTTGAATGGTACCCTGTACCATCAACGTACTCATCAAATAATTATTATGTAGAGTGCGTTCGTAGAGGAACGTCCACAGTGGACACTGTTTTTCTCATCCCTTGACCCCGTTGTGCATAACTAACCCATGACGAGAAAAATATACCAGCATAGATTTTTATTAATCGCACACACTATGATGTTACTTGCATCACGTTACACAATTTGTTTAATTTACAACGGAACAAAGTATTTAACATTAAGATTGTATTATATTAATTGGCATATTTTTAAAGTAATGTTTAAAATAACATATTTTTATGGAAAAATGAACTAATTCAAACACACCTTATCCTTGTATGACTTAAAACAAATGAACACGAAACCGATCGTTGTATCAAGTCTTGATTGCTTACATTGCAACTATTATACTAAATGAAGCACGTATATTTAGCTACTTACCTTCAAATTTAGCAATGAGATGGGACAAACTCCATGCTTGTAAATATTTTTTTACATTTTCCATTGTCACAACACCATAAAATCAATTATCAGTATCACAAAACACCAACTGTACCACCAAGGTAAACTGTAATTTTTTAATTCTTGGAATAACGAATCAAAACACAAAGACGACTGCGGACGACCACAAATGTGCTGACAATTGTCTGGCACTAAGTGGGAAATTATGCCATTGGTCGAATCGATAGGCGGTTAAATTAAATTTAACTATAATTGTGGTTTGTTCAACAAAAGGTTATAGTATGGCAGATTACTTCCAAACATTATGGTTGTTACAACCATTTAGTAAGAGTTATGTCAAAAGAGTACTACACATATAGTTATTGATACTATATGGTTCATAACCAAAATTGAATGATTGTTACAACTATTTACTTTTTTTCACCTATAATGTTGCCAACAATAAATATGGATATAACAACCAAATTCATTTTAACAATCAGGTATGGTTGCAACATTTTTTAGTGTGTAATACGTCCGTTTACTACCTTATCGACATCACGTGCTTACGGACTATTTTTACCCCCTTTCGTAAGGTACTGCCACTTCATAGTGAAGCGAGTGAGATGCAAAATATATATTCATTCTTTTCTACATGGGAAAGTGATTGTCCGTATAGGTTGTCCAACTATAATATACTTAAACAATGATAATATCAATCGTGGGTCTCCTTATCAAATTTTTCAAAGTGCAAAAAATAATTGTTAAAGTTTTAAATTACTTGAAAGGAGTAAGTAAGTAAGTAAGTAAGTAAGTAAGTAAGTAAGTAAGTAAGTAAGTAAGTATTTATTAATGACCATTAGGGTACATAAGTCAAGTCAGATGAAGTTACAATATAAAGAGTTTAAAATTATACAATTTACAAGATAATTCAAATCGACTGGTAAAAACTACACAGGACATCGCTACAATTTAAAAATTCATCGAGAGAGTAAAATGCGTTTTTTAATAAAAAAATTCTTATAGTACGGCTAAATTGCGAAAAAGGTAAGTTAGCAATACGTTTCGGTAATTTATTGAATAATTTGGGCCCATAATAATTGATGGCATTTCTACTTCTACCTACACGATAGAATTCGGTGTGAATGCTATGGGTAGATCTCGTGATTAATGACATATTTGTGGGATTATTATAAGTGGTGAGATTAGACTTCACATATAATAAAGCATATAAAATATAAAGACAGGGCACGGTGAGAATACTTTTTTCTTTAAAATAATTTTTAACACAAGCTCTGTAAGATAGACCTCCAATAATTCGAACTACTCGGCGCTGCAATTTAAAAACGGTTTTTAAATGACTGCTGTGGCCCCAGGTTATAATGGCATAGCTAAAAATACTTTGAAATAAAGAGTAGTATATCATCATAAGGATCTGCTCACTAACCTCATATTGCAAATTCCTAATAAGAAAAGTTGATTTGGACAATTTTTTACAGATATCAATGACGTGATTATCCCAGCATAATTTCGGGTCCAGTGTCACACCAAGAAATTTGACACACCTCGGATTGTCAATCTCAGAAATGTAACGAAGGGAAAACACCATTTTTTGAGTTTTCAGTACATTAAGCGTTAATCTGTTTGAAGTAAACCATTCACTAGCAGCATTAATCTCTTGTTCCATCCTGTCCAAGAGAGACGGGATGTCTGAGTCCACACTATAGCAAGTAGTGTCATCCGCAAAAAGTATGATTTTATTGTCTAGATGTTTAGCCAAGTCGTTAATGTATAACAAAAAGAGCAACGGACCTAAAATCGAGCCTTGTGGCACTCCTATGTTAACTATTGTCATTTCGGAGTATACATTATTAAACAGAACAACCTGCTGGCGATTGTGGAGAAAACTAAAAATAAGCTGTAAGGCTCCATTTGACAATCCGTACAACTCAAGCTTGTTTATTAGAATGTTGTGATTAATACTATCGAAAGCTTTTGATAGATCACAAAATGTGCATCCTAAGAATTGTTTTGTTTCGAAACAGGTAATGACCTCATCAACAAGCCTATTAATAGCCATGGTTGTACTTTTGCCATGTTGGAAACCAAATTGGCGTTGGTTCAATATATTTTGTTTATTAACGTATTCCTCAAGTTGTTTAAGCATAATCTTTTCTAAAATTTTCCCAAAAATAGGCGTTATAGAGATTGGTCTATATTTATCAACATCATCTACGTTGCCCTTTTTGTGGATAGGGATTACTTTGGTCACCTTGAGACAGGATGGGAAAAGATTTTCATTAATACACCGATTGATCAATCTTGTGAGTGGAACTAGAATGAGATTCTTAATATTCCTAACAATGGTGATACTTATGTTGTAGTAGTCCTTACTTTTCTTTTTTTTGATGGAATCAATTGTATCTCTTACTTCATTAAATGTTATCTCTCTGAAATTGAAAACAGAGTTCACCGGAGTCAAATTTTTGTGCATTAGCTGAATTGGATCCGTATTTGATAATTTTAAATTATTCTCCAAATTATGTGGGATATCACCAAAAAATGTAGAGAAGTCCTCCGCAGTCAGTTTTTCTGAATAATTATTGCTACTAGCTAATCGTTTGCTATTAATTAATTTCCAGCTGTCCTTTGCTACATTAGTAGAATTTTTAATTAGGTTGTCATTAAAGGTTTTTTTTCTTTTTTTAACTTCGGTTCTAAACAATTCTCTATATTTTTGAAAATAGGTCACAAAAGTTGGGTCATTAGGATTTTGATTGTGTAATTCGTGTAACAGGTTTACATTTTGTTTCATTTTATGTAATTTCTCATCATACCAGTAAGTATCATCCTTTTTAACATTTTTTATTCTTTTTACTTTTATAGGAAAGGCCATGTTTACTTTATCAGAAATTAATTTGGTGAATAAGTTAAATTTGGTATTTGTATCAAGTCCAGCATCATTGATAAAATCAAAATTGCAATCACTAATAATATTAAAAAAATTAAAGAATCCTACTTCCGTAAAAGGTTGATATGATACAACTTTCGAGCAGTCTTTTGACTTATGACGATTATGTGGAATTTCTACAGTAGCAGCACGATGGTCAGATAAATGAGTCTCCATGACCTGGTGCCTACAATCATGTGCGATATTTGTAAGTATATTATCAATACACGAATTTGCTCGCGTGTTCTCAAAGATTAGAGGTCTCAAATTATAAGATTTTAAAAAGTTAAGGAACTCTAGAGTCTGTTTGGTTTTGCGGTCAAAATGTATGTTAAAGTCTCCATTAATAATAACATCTGAATCGATTATATTGATAAAATTAAATAAATTAGTCAAATTAGAGTATAAAACTTCCAGATTGCCTTTTGGTGCTCTGTATACAGTTATTATGATTAGTTTGGGTTTATTAACTTTAATGGCTGCAAGCTCAATGTCAATTACATTACAAAACTTTGAAACATCAATAACTTGGTATTTAATTTTATCGTTTACTAGTATCACAACACCGCCATAACCTTTATCTTTCCTGGTATAGGCAGAGGCTATCTTAAAACTACCCAATTTTAATAAATCCAACTCATAGTTTGTTAACCAATGTTCTGTAAAACATAAAACATCATAAGATTCTTCAATGTTATGTAAAACTACCTCTACTTCATCAACTTTTTTCCTAATCGATTGTACATTTAAATGGAAAATTGAAAAATAGCTATCACTAACTACCGCTTTACTCGTTAATTTTTTTAAAATGAAAAAACTTGCGAACACATGCTCCTACAGGCCAGATGTTGGGATCCAGGGCTTTTCCGAAATTGTCAGCATATACAGACAGCTTGAAGGATGAATATTCGCCTTTGTGTTTAGCTTCCA